ATAACAAGATCCACATTCATTCCTTATATTTACATTGGTTTATCTTTTGTGATAAAATACGCTAAAATTGTAAAAATACCCGAAACCATTGCTGCTTAATTCACCGATATCTGTCAATCAAGTTCACCGCCCCGCCCTAACAATATAGTTTTATAAATAGACAGTCTTATTTGGATGATAGAATTATCAAATATTTATTATTCCATTGAAATATTAACAACAATTGTAAATTTAAATAAATTGTAAAATTAGATTAGACTCTAGGTAAAAAAAACTTGGGTCAATCCTTGTTTTCGTTTTCGATGTATTCATATACCTTATTGTCACGTGACAAACTACAGTTATTGGGAAATAAACGCCGGTTTGGCTAACTGGTTTATTGAAGGGAGTGATAGTAGAAATGTAAATATTTAACAAAAACCCTAATTCATAGTAAAAATATTCTGTTTTTTGATGTAATTTAAGTCAACCTGTGAGGTATATGGTGTTTTCTGATTGAGTAGGTTAAGCCTTGAAAAACTATCCAGGTGTTGACTAGATGTATAAATTAATCAACCTGTGAGGTATATGGTGTTTTCTGATTGAGTAGGTTAAGCCTTGAAAAACTATCCAGGTGTTGACTAGATGTATAAATTAATCAACCTGTGAGGTATATGGTGTTTTCTGATTGAGTAGGTTAAGCCTTGAAAAACTATCCAGGTGTTGACTAGATGTATAAATTAATCAACCTGTGAGGTATATGGTGTTTTCTGATTGAGTAGGTTAAGCCTTGAAAAACTATCCAGGTGTTGGCTAGATGTATAAATTAATCAACCTGTGAGGTATATGGTGTTTTCTGATTGAGTAGGTTAAGCCTTGAAAAACTATCCAGGTGTTGGCTAGATGTATAAATTAATCAACCTGTGAGGTATATGGTGTTTTCTGATTGAGTAGGTTAAGCCTTGAAAAACTATCCAGGTGTTGGCTAGATGTATAAATTAATCAACCTGTGAGGTATATGGTGTTTTCTGATTGGAGGTTAAGCCTTGAAAAACTATCCAGGTGTTGGCTAGATGTATAAATTAATCAACCTGTGAGGTATATGGTGTTTTCTGATTGAGTAGTAATTGAAAAACTATCCAGGTGTTGGCTAGATGTATAAATTAATCAACCTGTGAGGTATATGGTGTTTTCTGATTGAGTAGGTTAAGCCTTGAAAAACTATCCAGGTGTTGGCTAGATGTATAAATTAATCAACCTGTGAGGTATATGGTGTTTTCTGATTGAGTAGGTTAAGCCTTGAAAAACTATCCAGGTGTTGACTAGATGTATAATTTAATATGATGAAATACAGGATGTGACTTTCTAGTTTGATATTTAAAACTGTTATATTATATATGTTTTATATTTCAGTTACAACACTGTGAAGAATTGAGACAGAATTTATCAGTATTAATATTCTCTAAAACATTATTATATTATTAATATTAAATATACTACCTAGCTCTTTCATTCTCTCTTATTGTTTTATTATGGGAAGCTAGGGTATCCCCAGCTATGAATATCCCAGCCCCTCCCTTAGTTTGAGTCTAAGAATCCTAATAAAACTGATGATGCTATTTTTTCAATCTCACTTTCTGTTTTATATATGGAAAGCCAGGGTGGCCTATTTTTTGGAGATCTCCCTCTGTAAATATCCTATCCCCTCTTCTGTTGGAAACTTAAGAATTATTGTAATTAAAATACTTATGTAGACTACTTTCATAGGAAACTACGTATGGGCCTCAAAAATTCCCCCCCCCCCCCCCCCCATTTTGTCAGCCTGCCACCTATTTGTAGGCTACCCACAGTCTCGGGAAGCTGACCAAGAGTGATATATCGAAATGAACCCTGGTATAAGTAACACTAAGATACAAATCATGGTCCCCTGCTTGAGAACAACTTTATTTGCCTGATTGGAAAGGTCGTCTAACTCGTATTCATGTTAAAGGAATATTACCTCTAAAAGTGAATAATGGAAAACTTTTTAGCGTTTTTGAATAATTACTATGGTTATTTAATGAATTTTATTGGATTATAGTGGAATTCTGTATAGTTAGGACACCTGGTAAATCCAACTGATGAGTATAAACTCTTATTGACCAACTTTGAGTATTTAAATTTTATGTTTATTCCAAGAGGTAGTGTTCCTTTAAACCAAGATTATATATAAAAGATATATAAAGTTTCTGTCACAGTGGGTAATTGCTGGAATGAAGAAATAGTTTATTTTTATAACAAATTAACTGTAACGTAACAAATTCTCTTCCGTTCCCGCCCGTTTTACATATTGGCTGCCATCTTGAATCCTGGTGTCAAGTGACGTCATTAAAGTGTTTTATCGTGTAATCAGTTCCACTGTGCACGTGAGAAAACAGACGACAGAAAGGTGTGTGGTGAAAATAAACAGCTAAAACATCGAATATATTTTACTCCATTCTAGTAGTTGTTATGTTATCTATCTGAGAGTTACTCCATGTAAATATTTATCCACCGTTTTCTTATTCCCGACTCGTCTTCACACGTGCACAAACAAAAGCGTTGATTAAAACGAGCGATGTATCTTTAGCTAAGAGTCGTGTATCAAAATGTCCTCGGAGACCCGTGAAATATATAGTTCTAAGGTTGTAGGGTCGATAACTTTCTCAAAACAAGAAAAGTAGAAGTTTCTGTAAATGGCGAAGTGTTTATATCACGAGAGGAAGATGTTATGATAAGTGAAACTACCAAAGAGAGATGACGATCACATTTCACCCTGGTTATAGATTAATTACCCTTCATTATACTTATCTTAAAACTATATTTTATATAAAACTAATTTCACTGTTGTTTTTAACACCGCCCTCACCATCTAATCTCAGCCAGTGTTTTTATGAGACTTGTTAACTTTTTCTTTCTAATCCCCCTTTCAGGCTCCTTTATGGATTATGCTACGTTAGCTCCTAATCAATCCTTTCATGATTTTCTCTCAATGTCCCGAACACCATAACGATTACCAGTTGTGTATGGTTGTGAATAATGAGAGATGACATGAGTACCGAACACAACTCACAGCCTAGTTACATGAGAGTTGCGTTCGAAACTTATGACCTCTTCTTATTTGCAACCATTAGCAACAGCGATGACTATAGTGTGAGGACCCCCCAAGGCTTTCACTTCAATCTTTTTCATATCGGAGAATTGACTGAATAGAACGACTTAAAATAAATTATAATTGTTCAAATATTTTATACTACAGTGCACTTTGTTTACATTGAAAAGAAACACCCTTCATAACAAGAAATTTCAACCGCAGATCACAAATTTTGATTGAAAATTGATCTGTTAAGACAATTTCAAATGATAATTTAATTTCTTAAGACTTGGGTGTGAAGACAGTAAGAGAAATGTACGTCTGATAGAAAAAGGTCCAGAAACAATTGAGTCTGCAACTGAAACTGTCGTGAAAACAAGTCTACATGTGGAGTCTTGTGTTAATACTCAGATTCAACTATCGTCCGCAACTGTAAGTTTCCTGGCAACAGCTAGTAACATTTGGAGAAATTCATCCTGTCTTGATACATCAATAAAAGAAATCTAATTCTTCAGAAATTGAAATGGACAACTAAGAAAACGTTTAGTATTTAATCAAAAAACAATTTTCTTTTCTGGTAAAAACTTGTTTATTTTCACGACGAGAGAAATTAAGAGTAGTATAGAGGAATAAAATACCCCCACAGTTGATCTCGAGTTTCTATTTTGATCTGATGTTCCCGACCCTCACAGAAATAGCCTGGGGGATAAATATTTTGATTCTGTGGGTCTTTGATATAAAGTGATAGGTTTGATACAGCGTGTAGTTGTAAGTTTGATTGAAGATATAGTATGAACCAGTAACGAACATTCTAAAATCAGATCTTTTACCGATATATTAAACAGGCAATATGAACTATTTCATCTTCACGATGGTCAATGTATAAAAAACTTTATCTTATACCTTGACTACAATTGTCACCTTTCTTGTATCACATATGTTTGTAAATGCAGTGATTTGATTGGATTGTATGCAAAGGAATGTAGCCAATCAGAGGTCTCGACAGAAAGTCTGTAAACAATATCCATAATGTTTACAGACTTTCGAGGGCTCTGATTTGCTGTATCCAATCCATTCTGTGCCAGCGCTTTCCTAAGTCGACTTTCATCTCCTTATATCTGACCATTAGCCTACACCTATTCGTCAACTCTCGTCAGTTTCCGTAAAGCACCAATAGGACTTTCAGTGCGGATAACAAGAAAAAGTTATCTGGACCAAGATGCCTTGTACCTCAATAATGATAACACGCCAATTAGTTTCGTATAATTCGAGTCATAAAGAATTATTTAAACAATAAACGAATTAATTAACACAAAGAAAATAACCTTTAAGTTGTTTTATCTTTAACATTATTAAACTGACAAAAACTTGAACTTTTTACTTTCATTTACAAATTTGTTTACCGGAAGTAGATGTTGCCCTTTAAAGATGTACCACGTGACACAAATAGCGGGAAAAGATTTATGAAGCAGCAGATAGCCTAGATCTCGTTAGGTCATGCGAGACGAGATAATATGAGATTTGTGGCCACTGAAGGCATGAATTATTGTAATAAATTGGATTAAGATGAATGTAAATAAAATACCTCGTCAATTCCCATTAATTATAACACGTGACTGTAGAATAAACTGCAGGTTGAGATAAGAAATGGAGGTTGTAGATTGATAAGATGACTTGTGCCAAACACAAATCTTGTCGCTGATAATATTGTATATACAATAGAATAGAAACAAAGTAAATTTTATCTTCAATTATTATTGGGTTTTAAGTTAACTTTGAAGACTCCTAGAGAAACATTTAAATTCTTATCTTCCATTATTATTGGGTTTTTAATCAGCTAGATTTCAAAACGGTTAAAAGAAGGCTTGTCTTCGATACCTGGCTATAGATCTAGTACTGTATGTATATTGTAGATGAGCATTCAAAACAAAATTATTCCTAATTCAATATTTCCCGGTCTAACCAAAATGAAATATCTAAATATTTAGAACTCGATATTTACCATCTTACCATCATTTTAAATTATATCTACAGAAAATAAATAAACCAAGTGCCCACAATTCGAACCGCAAAAAGAAACCCGAAATCAAAACATTATTTTGGGGTAATATTGGTAGTAGCTAATGAACTTTTCACATGAGGAAGTTTATCAATTTTAAGTAAGTAAATATTTCATATGAAAAATGGTATCAATATAATAATATAGTAGAAAAATATAAGAAATTCATTATTTTTAGCTTTCTGTTAGATTATTCTACATAAATTATACAAATATCATTTTTCACAAGAGTTTTAAATTCTTGATATCAACAAAAATAAGAAATAAACCACCTAGAACTGTCTTTAAATTCTAGATAATTATTCAAAACAAATATCATGTCGACAAAAATAAGAAATAAACCACCTAGAACTGTCTTTAAATTCTAGATAATTATTCAAAACAAATATCATGTCGACAAAAATAAGAAATAAACCACCTAGAACTGTCTTTAAATTCTAGATAATTATTCAAAACAAATATCATGTCGACAAAAATAAGAAATAAACCACCTAGAACTGTCTTTAAATTCTAGATAATTATTCAAAACAAATATCATGTCGACAAAAATAAGAAATAAACCACCTAGAACTGTCTTTAAATTCTAGATAATTATTCAAAACAAATATCATGTCGACAAAAATAAGAAATAAACCACCTAGAACTGTCTTTAAATTCTAGATAATTATTCAAAACAAATATCATGTCGACAAAAATAAGATTAGCTCTGTGATATTTTACAGTTGAAATATTGGTTCTTATTAAAGATAGGCGGACCTTTTTTTTCTTCCCCTTATCTTTGACTATCACCACCCTCTCGCTTTAATTTGTAAACTTTATCAACGGTGTCAGTGTTTAGAGAAATTTATGGCCTTAAATCATTCTCTTTTGAAACGTGGCCCACCATTCTTTTAGTTGATAATAGAATTTCTAACGACTCTTGAAAATTCCCGAAAGATATACGGGTTTTATTATGAATATTGGGCCTCGAAAAAACATAATTATTATAAAATTGTATCCTTCAAGGGAACAGAATAAACAACACACCTATGGGATTATAAAAAAAATTAAAATCTTTCAACTTGACATTTTGATTCTGTCTAAAAATACAAACTAGAATTAAACACAACTGAATGAACTCGATATTAAAATTTTATTAAAAATATCCTCATTATTTTAATCAACTATTCCTTTTAAAAAAATGAACTTAAATGCAAAATGTTTGACATTTGCACCATCATCATTATATTCCTGATGAATAAATATTTGAGAGTTATTGAAACATGATGGGACAATAAATCAGGACTCGGTATATGCTATAGGGTGTGCACGTTAAAGAACATTCGACAGTTGGAAATCGATAAAAAGTAAGCCAATTCCGCTGTCCTGGCATAATTTCCTTCATTACACACTGCTTGGCGTTTACCCGTCCACATTGGTCCAAACAGATGCAGAAACAATAGACGTAATACTCATTTCCATCAACTTCTCCTGTGTCTAGTTCAGATTAGAGAGAAATTTGACAGAGTTTTTAATTGCCGTCAGGGCCCCGATATCACACATCGTTAAGATTGAGTTGAAATCTGACAAAATAAGTTTTAAAATATCATTAACAGATCATTTTAGAATTATTTTTAAATGTCTGTATAAACACTTTGTTTAAGTGATGATAGTCTAAAACAATTATTATATTTTAAACGCATTAAATAAATTTCTAGATTCATTATTTTAATTCTTGTTTGCTACTGTCGTGTAGGATTAGAACAGTGTAAACTATAGGGACCCTCTTTAAGTGATGATATCCTAAAACAATTTAATATATTCCCGATTGATTTGAAACTTCATTCCAACATGCTACTGTCTTAGTTTTAAAAACTTTCTGTAATAATAAATATTACTTCAGACTGATAAATAAAGATACTAGTAATATAATAGTAATCAATACAGTATCTATTGATGATCATAATACTACAAGAACCAATCAGTATGCACATTTTGATCAAAAAAGAAGGTAAAATCATTGTGAATTTACACTGAATGTCACATCTGACTTTAATTAAATGATTGATCCATGTAAAATTGTTCTATTTTTAACAGTCCTGAACTTTATATATTTATGGAGGTTTCTTTAAACTTACTCAGTTTTAATACCATAATTACAGTATTTACTAGTATTAATATTAATATTGATATGTTTGTGTTTGGCCTTGTTTTGGAAGCAAGCCTGTATTAACAAAGAAAAGATGAACAAAATGAGCAGAGGGTCTTGGAGCTGTTTCTGGTTTTTGGTATCCATCAATATCTAATACTATAGTATCAATTTAAAGAGTTTGATTTGAGTTCTGGTGGAAGTATTTTGGAGGGTGTGTAATAGTTTCTCTTTAGGATAAAGTCCAATATATCCACTTTAGAATTGACAATAAAGTATTTAATAACAATATTGGTTCAGGAAGACTTTTATATCATACTTTGGTTTCCATTCCATATAGCACCATTGTTTTAATTCCACAGGAAAACACAAAACGAAGTTTTACTCCAATCTGAATATTTCAGTGTATAGCACCAGATCTAATGTTTGAAAATAAATATAGCACCAAATAAAACATTGTCAGCTTCATTATAGTTTTTTTTAATGTCACCACGGATTGTTCTCAGTCTCCCAAACTACATCCGGTGTGTCTGCTATGACGTCACCGGATGTTGATGTCTGTCAGCACACTCCATCAGATATTTCCATTTTGGTCGGAATTTTGATGGAATCTTGTGAGCTTCCGTCACCGCCTGTCACCATTCGACCATTAAATGTAAACGGCCAAGTCTAAAATTATAAATAATATAAAGTTGGATGAGTTATGATAGTTTATAAAACGAGTAAACAGTTTATTGTTCAGCGAGTAATTAATGAAGTTAATTTTGTTATAAACTTTCCAACACACTGATTGATATTTTTAAATATTTATCTCATTTCGGCTGTTTTCATTTTCCTGCCAAATCACAGTCAAATATAAAAATAAAAAATACTGAAAATACAAACAACCTGTCGCCTATGTGAACTCACAAAAGGAGAAGAACCCTAGTCGCGGAGTGGAATCGTGTGTGTTATATTTGAAATTTATAAACTTGTTAACTGTACTGTAAATTTTTAAAATCCTGTCCTTGTCAAATATTAAATTCTATATTATGTTTGAAATAGAACTAATATTCTTAAAGTAAGAAATCTGTTTCTACAAAATTAATAAACATCGATTTGACAAACTGAGAATATAATATAGATATGGATGCTTCGTTTCGTTTCGTTTTTCTACAGATTTCTCCGCTTGCCATCCATGATCTAACAGGATTCTGTGATGGCCATTCGGGGGTTGATGTGGGTTTGAAATATATGTAAATAGTTTTCAGAAGTACTAGAAATGTACGAAAACCGCTTAATTTCTTCAAAAATACTTCAAACTAGAAATTTCTTTTCCAATTTCTATATATTATATCTTTTCTATATACATGTATGATGGCAGAGTGAAGAAAAGACGAGTCGTCATCTTAACTTTCAAACGCAGAAAGTTTCTGGACACTCAAATTTCGACGGTGGACAAAAATTCGTTTCTGAGACTAAGCCTAAGGTAGGATTGGCTATACCGATAACAAACCTATCTCTATAAATCATACTATGTGTATGACTTGTTGGGTCACCCGAATTAAAAAAAAAAAACACGACATAAAGTATTCAGACTCGCATATTATTCATAATATGTCCTATAGAAATTAGGTCATATTGGTGATTTCTATCGAGTCTATATAAAATGAGAAGGACGTTGTAAAAGATATAAAAGATGTTTTTGATAAGAAAACATTAAAATTAAAGGTTGGTTATCATTCTATACACATCACGCCCTGTTGTATTATTATTGACTCTAGTTCTCGTTTTATATACCCTAATTACATGTATCAATTATACCCTGGTACACATTACAGTTTATAGCAGGTTGACTGGGTTGACTGGGTTTGAATGAATAAAATGAATTTAATCATGTGATTGTATTATGAAATGTGCTCGTGACTAAAACTCTCTTTAATTTCATGGATAACTGAGCATGAATAAACTTCTTTATTTGGCTTTAAATGGGATGTTGTTAAACGATTAACTGCAATGATATGTCTTCAAATGTAACGAAAAATAACGACGACCTTTTTATTTGACTTTGACTTTGAATTATGTTTTTACATCCTGATGTTCTGTTCTGTTTGAGCAACGCAATTAATAGTAAGAATTGAAATCAAACTAAACTCACGGTAATCATGGTACCCCAGGTTTAATTAGAATTAGACCAAACCCTGCTTCCGTTTTTTTTCTTAGTTTTTATTTTAAATATAATCACTATGTTAAAAAATAAAGCCAATAAAAAACGTAACGATAGTTTGGTCTAAGTTGCTTAATTACAATGTTACAATGATTGTATAGCAGGAATAACTTGGAGTCACCATGTAATTATTCTAAAACTATATTGTCTAAACTTACAAACTATTTCTCCCAAATTATATGGTTTATAGTTCATTACTACGTTACATTAAACAAATAATTTATCACGTTTCAGACACAATCCGTTACCAACATCATGGATGAATTGAGACGCAGAGGAGAGCAACACCATGTAGTGGGCAATGAGCAAATTTTAATTGTCCCAAAGAACCATGTCTTTAACACGTGGTATTGAGATTATCTGTGGTAATTTCATGC